TATATATATATATATATATATATATATATAGTTAAGCTAAGACTTTAAAGGCCCAGCGGCCCACGGGCTTGGAACTGGGCGAAGTGATGCAGCAGAGTACGAGTTGCAACATCCCGGGGCTGAAACTTGTGCTGCAGGAGAACGCCAAACGCATGCACAACTAAGGTTTAGGGTTTAGGGTTTAGCCTAACTGGCTGTACACACCGACACTGTATACAACAGCTGTCTCCAACACCTACACTTGAGCCTGCACTTCACACAGACATTACAACTGTAATACTTAGCAGCTATAGCATAATATAGCGTGATCTCCCCGAAGCCGTTTTATATAGTACACTATCTGCGCTCAGGATGCTTACAAACAGCCACAAAGATGTTCAACAACTGGCTGGGCTGTTCGACTATGCCGCAAAGGGGGGCTTAGTTGCCCTGCAATGCGGGGGGTCGTTGCAGCACTGAATGCACAGAGGTACGCTGCAACGTATCCCGGTTCTCCTCCCCCCTCTTTATACCCCACCTGAGGAACTGGGCCGAAGCAGCCGAGTGGCTGAGAGAGATGTCAGTGTTTTGCATACTGCAGCTCACGGCTGTCTGCGAATACTATTGAAGAAAACTATCGTTATGCTTGGCAGCAGCGCTGCGCTGTACACCCGAGCCAGTATGAGTAGCGGGCCTCGTCTGTTACAGCTGCTGGGATGCCTGGTGGTTAGTATTGACGAGTAGCAACTATGAAACTCTGAAAAAAAAGAAAAAGAATATCGGTGAAAGGATACAATTATCCTAGAGGATAGAGTTGTTATATACAAAAGAAGGAGAAACGCCACTGACACCCTGAATGAGAAGGAAGGGGAAGGCGTTTGCATATATATATATATATATATATATATATATATATATATATATATATATATATATAATATTCATGGTCATTCAAAGATTGAGTGGCAGTGAGTGCCAGCCCTGTCTAAGAAAAGATAAGAATCCGGGCGAGGAGCACTCAGCTTACAAACAGCTAAGGATTCACAATAAGGGGCTTTGGCTGATATGTGTTGCAGCAGGCCGGCTAGGCCGCATGCATGTGGTCTATCTAGCAGATGATGATCGTGCTGCAGGCCGAGTGGGTGCAACAAAACCTATGATATGTTCCTCGTTCGTTCTACTGGTTTCAGATGGGCTATTGTGTGAACCCCTAAACCCTAAACCCTAAACCCTAAACCCTCGCAAAACTTTCAAGACTTCTGCAGTGTACAAGTTCACATCAGATGATGGGCACCGGCTTCATTATATTTCATTGCAGCTCTGGCGCTGACCAACAACAGCGACGGTGCTATCGTTACCTTGGTGTATACTATAAGTAGGATACCTACAAACAAACTGCTGGAGAGACTTGCATATTGTTATTCAATATGAAACTGAATAATATTATATAAAATAATATAATTTTTTGTCTATCTACAAATCTCAGCTTTGATAGATATGATTCTCCTTTCGCCGCGCGTGCGTTTGTTGTGCGAGTGCACGCGCTAGCCCGGTATCTCGGCTACCCACCCCGGCCTCTGTTCCCTAAGGCCCCAAGCTCCCCTCAAATCCCCATCCATAGGATATTTTTTCACAGAGTAGACCTCTGCATACACCCCGCACCCTTTGCATTTGCATATTCTAAGAAAGGTGCGATCAGTTACCCAGGAAGAAAGAACTGATGAGGCGCCGACGCAGTTCAGAGGTGTTGCCAGATGCATGCAGACTGTGGTGATGATGCTTTTGCTAGTACTGCAATTTGGGGATATTTGTTTTGGTTAACATCCGGGGAACAGCAGCAGCTGAGCACAGAAGAAGATAGAGATTCTTCGTATGTAGTAATTAAGGTGCTGCCAGCGGGCTGTCACCCACTGAACACCCAATACACAGCACCAAACCCCCGCTAGGACCAGCCTGAAGCTCTGCATCAAACCCCTCTTTCTCGATACCCCTTTAGGTGTGCTGGGGGTCTGGGGGGGGGGGGGGGGNGGGGGGGGGGGGGGGCGTTGCCGGCGCACTCGTACACACCGGTGACATCCCCTTAGGTGGACGGGGTGCCCGCGCATGCAACTGATTCATACAGAGCGGTCCTCTTTGTATTTTTCCCTTCTCATCGATACCCAAAAGCATACAAAATAATTTATTTTCTGTGCTGAAAGTATTAGATTTAATTAGTCAGGGAACCGTGTCGGTGGGGGGGATGTATGGTGCATGCATTTGCGCTCACTCAGTATATCCTTCTTTTTGTTTTTACTTTATTTATATATTAATTAATTAAAACAAAACAATAAAACAATTGAATTGATTTCAACGAACACGCAGGCTGCATACACCGGGGGCCTCGAGTTGTAAGGAAGGTCGAGGCCCCCTACATTTTTCTTTTTACTATTCATCGCCGCGAAAAAACAAAAAAATAAATAATGAATTAATTAAAAAATAAATAAAACTCATGCGGAGCTGAAGATACACCTGAATTTATATGCACGCTGCTGCTTGCAGCAGTTGAGAGCCGCTGGTCCAGCCTCTGTCTGTTGCAGCAGCAGCAGCAGCAGCAGCTGCTGCAGTTGCTGCTGCTGCAGCAGCAGGGGCCCCGCGCTGTCCTTCTACTGTTTGCCTTTTGTTTATGTTTATTTTATCTCTTGTATGTAAAGGTTTATTGCTTTTTACTTATTTGTGTCCCTGAAATCAACAGAAAGAATTTTGGTGCTGCTGTTCCTGCTGCTGCTGCAGCGGTTGCTGCTGCTGCTGCTGCTGCGGCTGCCTGCGCCGACGGTCCAGGCCACTGCAACTCGAGGACCTGTCTCCTTCTGTTGCTTCTTGCTGTCTCCTCTTGTCTCCTTTTTCTGTTTCTTTCTGTTTCTTTATTCTGTCTCCTTGTGTTTTCTTCTTGTGTCTTCTTCTGTATCCTCTCTCCTGCCTGGGCCCCCAGCAGGCCCTCCCGCTGCACGCACCTCTCTCGAGGCCTCGGCCAGTTCAGGCCAAAACCCTAATCCCTAAACCCTAAACCCTAAACCCTAAACCCTAAACCCTAATTCTTAAACCCTGCAGCATGCGCACAGCCAACAACTGCGAGTGTCTATTTGTCCTGCTGCTGCCTCACCCGTCTGCGTCTCACTCTATGTAGAGGTATCTGCAGCAGCAGCAGCACTAGCAGCAGCAGCACCAGCAGCAGCAGCAACAGCAATAGCATAAACAACGGCACCACCAACACCACCATCACCGTCAACAACAGAAGAAGCAGCAGCAGCGCCACCAAAAGCAACAGGCACAGCAGCAGCATCATCACCAGCACCACCACCCGCAACAGCAACAGCAGCAGCAGCAGCAACTGCTGCAACTTCTTCAACATAAGTTTGTATTGTATATATTATCATACGTTCCCCTTTGGGGATCTCGTATTACTTTTTGGGGGGCCCCCAGGGGGCCCCAGGGGCCCCCCTGCCCGCTTTTCCAATGGGGGCCGCCCCGAGCGCGTCTGCTGCTGCTGCTGCTGCTGCTGCTGCTGCAACTGCTGCAACAGCTGCTGCATTGCAATTCCCTTCATGTTCTGTCTGCAGCCCTGAGAAGGGGGGCCCCCCTGGGGGCCCCTCTAGGGGCCCCCAACGCCCTGGGGGGGCCCCCAAGGGAGATACGGGGCGCTGCAGCGGCAGAAGCACGCGGGCAGACTCTACTGCTTTTGCTGTTCAGCTGCTGCATGCAATCAGAGACAAGAACCCTCAGCTGCTGCAGCAGCTGCTGCTGCAGCAAAATAAAAGAGACGCGGGACCCCAGAAAGTGAGGATAGATGATGTGCTTGTTGCTGCTGCTGCTGTTGCTGCTGATATTGTTGCTCTTGTTGCTGCTGTTGGCGCTACTGCTGCAGATGCCGCTGTTGTTGCTGCTGTTGCTGCTGCTGATACTGCTGTTGCTGCTGCTGATACTGCTGTTGCTGCTGCTACTGTTGCTGCTGCTGCAGTTGCTGCTGCTGCTGTTCTGCTGGTACTGTTGTTACTGCTGCTGTTGCTGCCGGGGGCAGGGTGTGCCTCGTACTTGGATTGAAGCGTAATCATCATCATCATCTGCTGCTGCTGCNGCTGCCGGGGGCAGGGTGTGCCTCGTACTTGGATTGAAGCGTAATCATCATCATCATCTGCTGCTGCTGCTGCTGTCGCTGCTGCTGCTGCTGCTGCTGCTGCTGCTGCTGTTGCTTCTGCTGCTGCTGTTCTTTTGGATGCAGGCGGACTCACTAGCCTTCGCCGGGGATGCAGCTTGTCTACACGTGGTATTTGCTGCGCTGCAGCAGCGACAGCAGCAGAAGCAGCAGAAGCAGATGCTGCTGCTGCAGATCCTCTTCTCCCACGGCTGCAGCGTAGACGAGGGATGGCCCTCTGCTGCTTTCTTTAAGCTGCAGCACAGCAACAGCAGCAGCAGCAGCAACAGCAACAGCAGCAGCAGCAGCAGCTCCGATGGCGTAGAGGATACAGAGGGACAAGTTCAGGGGATCTCAGGAGCCTTCACACATCTATGCGTACATAAGTCAGCAGCAACAGCAGCAGCAGCAGCAGCAGATGCAGACAACAGCAACGCCAAAGGGGGGCCCCCTAAGCAGCAGGGAGGGGCCCCCCTCCCTGCTGTGCTGCAGCCACCCAAGGGCCCCAGCAGCAGCTGGGGGCCCCTGTCTGATGGTTGGTTTTTTTTGAAAGAGAGTACAACAGCAGCAGCAGCAGCAGCAACAGCAGCAGCAGCAGCAACAGGAGGAGACACAGAGCAGCAGCAGCTGCTGCTGCGTAGACTGAAAGCAGCACCGCTGCTGCTGGTTGGGGAGGTGGGGTTTATATACTGCAGCGACATTGCTGTTCATCACCTTATAGCGGAGCTGTCTCTCCACCCAGGTAACAAACCCTAAACCCTAAACCCTAAACCCTAAACCCTAAACCCTTAAGGATTTCTCTATACAGCTCTGCAGGAAGCAAACGATACTTCGGGCCACGCATAAAAGCAGAGGGTTTAGGGTTTACGGTGGTTTAGGGTTTGGGGTTGTTTAGAGTTTGTGCTGGGGGTGTTGCTGCAGGCAAACTCCTCGTTGCTGCTGCTGCAGCAAGCTCACCTGCTGTGCTGCAGCGGCTGCTGCAGCGCGGAGCAAATCCAAACAACATACGGGTACGTTGCAGCAGCAGCAACAGAAGCACCAGCAGCAACAGAAGCACCAGCAGCAGCAGAAGCACCAGCAGCAGCAGAAGCACCAGCAGCAGCAGCAGAAGCAGCAGCAACGGAAGCAGCAGTAGCAGCCAGACTAGCCTAATAGCACCTGCAGCACAGCAGTATGAAAGTGTTGCCAGTGT